ATCTCACACGCACACACATACATAAAAATGATAAATGACTGATCCCTAGCTATCATGGAGATCTCCTTTTTTCTAGATTTTCTACATTCCACAGCAATTAGCACTGTATATTGTTAATCACTAAAAAGTGAAATAAACGCCAAGGAATTGCTGCCTGTTTTGTTTACTGAGATATCCCTGAATGACATAAAGAGTTTCATGAATTATAGTCATAATAGTCAGAAAAATGAAATACACATAGATATAAACACAGACAAAATCATAAAAACATGTATTTCTATTGGAAATATGTCATTTTAAAATAACTTTTTTTTTTTTAGTCAATGAGTATCAACTATCTTGGAATTCACAGTATTAAGCAAACACTCATGAAATCATATACATGGACAACCTTGTTTTATTTTTAATTGTCTTAGCCAAGAATTTACAACTTCTAATCCTATTGGCGAGATATCTGCAGCCTGGGAGTTACTTTCTGGACTTCTTTCCTTTGGGAGCTAGCTGTGATTAAAGAAGATTTTTTAAATTCCCCAAATATGCAAAGCCCTGGATCACTGCTTCCCTTAAGGCTATGTGCTTTTGGGGGCTGCTAAGCCCTGTTTCACGTCAAGACTTGGCATTTCAGAGGATACAGGCTTACGTCTGTTTCCTAGTCTCAGCTGGACAACACATTTCTGATCCCCAGTCTATAAGGTGAAGCCTATTGGCCCTGTCACACAGCTTTCTGGGTCCTGTCCCTGGCATGAGCAGGCTTCATACTCGTTCTCTGCAGCTTTATTTAGGGTAAAGAATAATTTCTGCTTTCCAGGAAATCCTGTCCTGAGCCAACTGTGAAACAAAGTGGAGTAAATTTTCATTCTGTCTTTGTCCTCACCAGAATCAAATGGGTCAGGAACTGACCTATGAAGGATATTTTCAGTGATTTCTTACCCTGGAAAATTATGAAGAGTTTGTGTGAGATGCGTCATCTCACCTCAAGCTGAGCTGTGCTCAAAATCTCTTCTGGAATATAGAGAGGCCTCCATTTATATATTCATTTATTTCAATTATTTGTTACCAGAGGTAGACATGAGTAGACAACTCACCAAGACCCCTTAAACCACGAATAGATAATGGATCGGTACTTCTCCAAGTCACCTGCCTATCCTTCAGCATTCTCTTACATTTCTTCAATTCCTTAACACATCTTGCAATCAATCAGTACAACTCTAACTGACTGGAGTATTCTTTTTTAATGCAGGTACTCTCCTCACTAAAGGATTAAATTAGTGACAGATATAGCCAACACACTAAAACAGTTCCAAGGCCAGTAAAGGGATAAAGTAAATATCAGTTGTTACAGTACAAGTGTTTAGGTCACCACCACTATGGAAAAATGGAGAAAATAAGGTAACAGACAGAAAGGGAAATTTCAAGTAACACAGCTTGTTTGGATTAAGAAAGATGAGGATGTGTTTGCTTTACCAGTACTTAATGTACAAATCATGCACAAAAACTTTTCTCCTGGAGCAATCTGTTGAATGTACTCTCTTGGTTAGATAAAATAGTTATGATAATATTAAATTGTTAGACTCATTACAAGAATGTGACTAGATTCACAATTTAAATGATAACTACGGGAATATGCTAAGTAGACAAATACATGATCAAAAAGAACTATTTTATCAAGGCATATTGACCAACATTAGATTTAAATTTGCAAGATGTAATATAAAAAATTTAATATAAAAATAATATGCAAAATAAACATAAAAACAGCTGGAGATAGACACAGTAAACTCCTTCTGCTAAGTGCCAGTACATTAGCGGCTGTTATACAAAGGAAGATATTTGATGGTTTTTCAAATTTTAACAAGCTAGATTTCATACATTTCACACATGTAGGCTCGGTGATGGCACTTCCTTCCTAGCGCTTTTGATCTGACATTTCTGACAACAGCCACAGCAAAGAAGAAATCCTCTTGGAGAATCTAGAGATCTCTTTTCTGGACCTGCTTATTCATGACATTTTTCTCCCATAGATGGGGGAGGGATTGGTCAGACAGATGCTAGGATTTCATTTTGCAACTTTGTACCTAAATTCCCCATTATTAGGGAAGTATAATATGGGAACGAAAACAAAGTGAGAAGACAAGTCTCTTTGTCTCTCCTGACTTCTGGACACTGGGATCAAGTTACAAAGGAGCCCGTTTTCTGTTTTAACAGCCAGAGGAAAACATGGGTACAGCAAGCACTTTCTGTCCAATGCTCCACAACGTGGGATGAGGACTGCCAGAAACTGCAGTTGTGATGGCATCAGTCACACTTTCTAACGGAACCTGGAGTTTTGGCAGCTCCATCAGTAATGTCAACAAAGGAATACAGAAGCTGCTAGAGTTGTGCTAGAGGGCAGTGATGTGCTGTGCTGCTTCATTGTCTCTACCAAATCAAACAAACGAAAAACTGTGTCCCTAGCTTGTCAGCCCACAAGTCTGGCATTGGCTTCCTAAGGAATTTTGATTAACGGAACCAATAGATGGCCTAGGTGAGAAAAAAAAAGGGGGGAGGGCTGTTTCAGCTGAATTAATCAGTACTAGGAAGCAAATAAAAATTTTCTGTATCTAATGCAGTAGCTCACTCTGGATTCTTGGAAAGCACAGTGTTCCTTTCAAAGAACAGCACATGATCATTGTTCTAAGAGGGCTTTTCAAAGTAAGTACATGCCCTGTGGAGATGCGCATGTGATTTCATTTTTCTGCATATACCACTTATTAGAGGGAACTTTTTTCCTAATTATGTGTCTTCCAATCCTTTTCAAAAATAATTTGGGTGGAAATATGTGGATGTGTGTCTGGTCTTGTGCTCTGTTCTGTCGGTCCACATGTCTGTTTTAATGCCTGTGCCATGCTGTTTTTACTGTAGCTGTTTCGTATAGTTTGAAGCTGGACAGTGCTATGCTTCTTCTTTTCTTCTCCTTGTTCAATAACTTCGGGTATTTGGAGTCTTTCATTGTTTCTTGTGATTTTTAGATTCTTTTTCTCTGAAGAACATCATTCCATGCCATTGATAGGTAATGTATTAAATCTTCAGATGGAAAGTTTAGATATTTCATTATTGTGCATTCTTATAAATTGCGAGAAATTGCTTTCTTGTGTATTTGAACCTTCTTCATTTTCTTTCATCTGCATTATACTTTTCAGTGAACAGGACTTTCATTTCAGTAAAGTTTATTTATGTGGTTTTTGAAAGCTACTGTAAATGAGACTTTTTTCTCTGTTACTGTTTCAAATAGTTCCATGCCACTGTATAAATACACTGCCTCTTGTAAGTTTGGCATACTGAAAATTTATTAAATTTGTTGGTAAATTCTATTTTCCCATGGAGTGCTTAGGATTTTTATGTATAAGATCAGGTCATCTGCAAATAGTGACAATTTTAATTTCTTTTTACAAATTTGAGTGTATCTGATTTCTTTCTCATGTCTTAATTCTCCCACAAAGGACCTCCACATCGAAAAAGAAGTCGTGAGAGTGGGCACACTAATCTTATGCCAGTTCTTAGAAAAACTTTCAACTTTTCCTATTCAGTATATTGTTGGCTGCAGATATGCTTTGCATGGTCATTGATATACTGTGATGTGTTCCTCTACATCTTGAGATATTTACTGAGTTTTCATCATGAAAGGGTGATGAGTTCTGTCCAACTCATTTTTTGCATCTATTGAAATCATATATTTTTGTTCTTCATATAGTGCGTTGACTGACTTCTATAGTATCCTGAAACAACCTCCCCCACCCCGAGTGAATTCTTCTTAATCATAGTGGGTGATCTTTGTAATTTGCTTTTTAATTTGTTAGTGTTTTGTTAAGAATTTTTGCATCTATGTTCATCAGGAATATTGACCTGAATTCCGCCCCCCCACCGCTGCCTGCCGCCTTTTGTCTGCCTTTGGCATCGAGATGATGCCAGCTTTGTCAAGTGCACATGGAAGAATCATCTTCTCTTTACATTAGCTCTTCTTTAAATGTTTTGTAAAACTCAGGAGTTCACATATCTGGTCCTAGGCTTTAATTTCATGATAAGCTGTTTGCTACTGATTCCAACTTCTTACTGGTTATTGATTTGCTGGTGTGTTATGTTTTTCCATAGCAAACTTTTCTTAAACTACACGCAGTGAATCACACTATTACTACTGAGAGAACTGAAATCTGTAATATGATATTTTATAGAAATAACTATCATCTTCCCATTATATATCACACACAGAATTAATACAAAAAAATTCAGGGTTTTCTTCATATGCAATTGTTGTAGGACATGTGCTTTTTTCAAGACAGGTTACACAGAAAAGAGACTAATGAGTGCTGTGTTATATATGAGTATCATTTCCTTTTTGGTTTTTATCAGCGTATTAATTATACATAGTAATAAATTTCATTATGACATTTTGATACTTCTATATATTTTTATCACATTCACCCTCATTATCTTTCTTGTTCCCCTCCCACTTCTCCTGGCCTCTTTTCTTTTCTTAACTAGTCCCCCCTCTGCTTGCAGGTTTTAAAAAAAATGGAGAGTCAGTAAGTATAGTTAATGTCAACTACAGGAGCAAGAGTGATGAATTATTCATATGAAAATGGGTGTCTAAACCAGTGACTGATTCTGAGTCTCTCTCTCTCTCTCTCTCTCTCTCTCTCTCTCTCTCTCGTGTGTGCAAGCATTATTCAACATCTCTGTGTCCCAGTTTGTACTTCTATTTAGTGGTAAAAGGATTACAGCTATGAGGGTGCAGCTTAAAATTGCATTTAGATGCTTTTTAAACAATATAGAATAGAATATGGTATTATTTTAAGAATAACATTTTAAGTCACTAGTATTTAAAATGGTTGACACTACTTAAAATGTAATTTTATTACAAATTTAAGTTTCCATTTGAAGATATCTTAATCAGTTTTCTGTTTTAATCTTTTCTGCCTCAGGGTAGAGATTTTGGAAAACAGAGGTCTACTACTGAATTAGCCATGCAGGTTTCCAACAGTTCCTATGCAGCCCCGCAGTCCTTCATTCTTAATGGGATTCCTGGTCTGGAAGCATTCCATGTGTGGATCTCCCTTCCACTCTGCACAATGTACGTCATCTCCCTAGTGGGCAACCTTGGCCTCGTGTACCTCATCTACCATGAGGAGTCCTTACACCGCCCGATGTATTTCTTTCTGGCCATGCTCTCTACCATTGACCTACTAACCTGCACTACCACTCTGCCCAATGCACTCTGCATCTTCTGGTTCCACCTTAAGGAAATTAACTTCAGTGCTTGCCTAGTCCAGATGTTCTTCGTGCATGGGTTCACAGGCGTGGAGTCTGGGGTCCTCATGCTCATGGCCCTGGACCGCTATGTTGCCATTTGCTACCCACTGCGTTATGCCACCATTCTTACTTACCCTATCATTGCCAAAGCTGGGCTTGCCACCTTCCTGAGAGGTGTGCTCTTGATGATTCCCTTTCCATTCTTGGTCAAGCGTTTGCCATTCTGCCAAAACAATATCATCTCCCATACGTATTGTGACCACATGTCTGTGGTAAAGTTGTCCTGTGCCAGTATCAAAGCCGACATCATCTACGGTCTCATCGTTGCTCTCCTGATTGGAGTGTTTGACATTTCTTGTATATCTGTGTCTTATACTATGATCCTGCGGGCAGTGGTCAGTCTCTCCTCAGCAGATGCTCGGCAGAAGGCCTTCAGCACCTGCACTGCCCACATATCTGCCATTATCATCACCTATGTTCCAGCGTTTTTCACTTTCTTTACCCACCGTTTTGGGGGTCACACCATCCCCCCTTCTCTTCACATCATTGTAGCTAATCTTTATCTTCTTCTTCCTCCAACCTTAAATCCCATTGTTTATGGAATAAAGACAAAACAGATTCGAGATAGCGTCATTAAATTCTTTCAGGGTGAGAAAGGTACAAAGTGATTTGAAAGTTTCTTAGAAGAAGATAAAGACAAATAAAACCATAATAAAGAAACCACACTAATTGGTAACATTTGTTTTCCAGTATCTCTTCCTGAATGTTTATTTTAAAATTGTGTTGCAGAAAATTTTTGGTAAAGATACAAATTCTCTTCATTTTCTCCACTTCCAGTTTAGAATTTTTAAATTTACCCTTAATTGGCTGATAAAATTATGTTTATTATTCATGATATATTTCAAAGTACATGCATGGTTTTGAATACGTAAGTCTAGTTAATCTCACAGACATACAAAATAGAATAACTTTCCCTCTCTGGTTTTAGTCAAGTCATTGATATGGGATCATAACAGCATCCTCAAACATATCCATTTAAGATATTACTTAACCTTTTTAAGGAACCCTTAAATGTCTTGTTTATGTTGGATATCATGCTTAAAGATATAGAATAGTGTCTTACTACGTTTTTCAGCCTGGGAAATCTTGAAGCTGAAGTTCAGTTTATGGATGAATCAAACAAACATGTAACTTTCTCTGTATATCCCGTCAAAAAACTTGCCATGTATCACAGTTCCTAGGTGGACACACACACATCCTCCTTACCTGACAACTTAAATACTGCAGTAGTCGCAGTGAAGGGCTATTTGGTGTAGGGTGTGGTTTCCCATGTTTCAGGCCAGTTAACTGGTGAAACGGTTGATTTGTTCATTCATTCATACTTCTCCATTTTTTCATTTTCCATATGAGCGAATTTTTTTTTATCAGTTTAAAAAAACCTGTAATGGCTTTATCATTCTTTCTCCTGATTTATACATGAAGAGTATGATAATACACCTCTAGTAAGTTTGTTTACATATTTATTTATTCACTCCTAGAATGTGTTGTCTTTGAAGGCCCTGGATATCTATATTTAACTCTGTATTTCAAATTCTAACATAATGCAAGGCATAGGGTAAGACAAATATTTATTAAATGGCTAAATGAATGTATCTACATAGTTAATAATTGAAGAAGTAAATACTTTATTCCCATCAGAAAGTTTTAATGAGAGCCATAAATAAGAATATTTTGAATTGTGTGCTAAAATAACAGTTTGTACAAAAGTCAGGGAAGGATCAGCTAGAAAGACATGGGGTCGGTTATACATACTGGGACATCAATGGATATTTAGTTACTCAAGTAAAACAAAGTAAAACTGTATGCACAAACTGTACAATAGTCTACATGAGAAATGAAAAGAAATTAACAAATGCTAAAAGGCACAGAAGGTTAACATCTAACCCTGAAAGAATTAAAAATTCATAGATTGATACCATTTCATTCATAATGTAATTCACAGAGAAAAAATCTATTTATTGGCAAGACAGAGTTTTAATTCTTCTTTTTCCTATCTTTTCTTCAGCTGAAGATCATATATGCGGAATATTTATTCCTAACTGATTCATGAGATATGAGAGTTGTGTTAACAGTTGTTAATTAATTTTCTAAAGATCATTTTATTATCATTGCTTTCTTTAAGAAGTAGCATGACGGTCCCACCCTGTCCCAGGCCCAGTCCTGCTCCTCCACCTCAGATCGCTGTACTAGCTTCCTAACCCAGGTTAGCTAAAGCCTCTAGTATAATTTGTTACGAACCTTCAGAGGGGTTCCCATCCCCACCTTCCTTTGGACTCTTGATCTGCCTGACATAAACTAGTCCTCCTACTACCATGACTGAACTGCCTATTACCCAGAGCCACCAACTACCCAGACCAGCCTACTACCCTGCAAGAACCTGGAGCACACACCAACTAACTTTTCATACCTGGCTAAAAAGCAGCCAAGCTACATCAACAATGTAAACAAAACGGAAATTCAACTAAACAAAGACAAAACAGAATTTCCCATTGGACACAGAATTAACAAAAAATCCATATGCCCAAACAGCAACACAAAAACACAATATGAAAAGCCAAGAGAGTATGTTCCCAACAAAATGCACCAGTGTGGTATGATGAGACTCACCCTGAGGAACCCCATGACATGGATAACTTTTAGATAGATATAATGTACCAAAACTAAATCAAGATGAAAAAAATTAAACAGATCAATAACCAGCAGCAAGACTAAAATGATAACAAAAAGTCTCCAAACTCCTTGCTTATCACCCCCATCCACAGTGGGTTTTTGTCTGGCTTGGGCTTGTGCAGTATACATGTTCTCACAGGCTCATGGGTCCGTATATGTAACTGGCCTTTTATGTCTTGAGAACACTGTTTCATTGTACATAAACAACGCAAGAACCAGATGATGAGGAATGGGGAACTGTGAAGTGCAAACTTCTGGATTTCACATGGCTGTCACACTCATGAACTCACACCAGCTGTGGTTACTGGCAGGCACAAGTTCTCAACAAGATCAACCCAGAAAAAAAAGAAAATCAGCATAGATGGGGGAGGTGCTCTCCAGGTTCTGTCCATTACTGAGGAGCTACTGACAGCTGATACATGCTGGGGAGGCTGGGCATGGTGGCGCCTGCCTTTAATCCCAGCACTTGGGAGACAGAGGCAGGTGGATCTCTGTGAGTTCAAGGCCAGTTCCAGGCCAGCTGGGCTACCGGGGACACCCTGTCTGAAAAAGACCAAAAAACAAAACAAAAAAAAAAATCATTCTCTTTTTTTGGTTCCGTGACCTCTGATGGATTTCTCATGCTCGCTGGCAGTCCTCACACCCCCACACATGTGGGCAGCAAGAACTAGACTTTGTGGGTTATCAGCAACAACCAGAGCAGATAAAGGTCATGAGGTTTGAGAGGAGCCTGTGCTGGGAATGTTAGAAGGGAGTTAGCTGAGGACATAGGGCATGGGTCTGATTGTGCTTCACTGAATGTGTGTATGAAATCATCAGGAATAAAGAAAAACAATATTTAAAAAATTTTTTTTCTCACTGAATGTTTGATCGGGTCTTTATTCAAATATGCTGTCTCTATATGCTCTGTATGGAATAGTCAGATTTTAATAGGCTATGCAGGAGGCTTCTTTTCTTCTGTGGCAGGCTTCTTTGCTGCTGGTTTCTTGGCAGCCTCAGGCTTTTTTCCCACAGGCTTCTTTTTCTTTCTTTCCCTCAGCTTCTTGACATCCACAGGCAGCTTTGCTTTATTCTCCATAGGCTTCTTGCTTGCAGCCCCCTTCTCTGCCGCCCTTTCTCTGCAATAAAAATGGATACAATGTGGAGGAACCAAGCGTTAGCAGGAAGAAGAGGAAATATTAGGTTTTTGGACTGAGTAGGTCCCAGAGTTCAAATCATCACTTTTAATTTCGGAAGACAAGACTTTTACATGCTATTAAATCTTTCACAATTCAATATCCATACTTTTCTCAGGCAAATAATACCACAAAGATTAATATGACCAACTCAACATTCTAGTGATCCCCACAACACATAGCATGGTTTCTGATACACACTATCAGTGTTTGTCTAGTGCTGTTTGTTTTCATCTCTGATTCATTTTCAGCATGGCAGTCTGAGGAGAAATCTTTCCAATTGCGCAAGCAGTAGGTATTAGTTTTCTATGGACATAGTTTCATTGATTTTTCACAAGTTTGTCAATAGTGGCCACTAAGATTTTCTTAGTGTCTCCGTGTGACTGACTCTGTGTTAAACACAAAAATAAATGACTGTACAAATTGCAGTGAATTTCTAGTTTAATAGAGAATATAAAATACAAAGGAGTGAGTAGTACCAATTTAGCAAATGCCAAATGTACTACAGTGATTCATCTATTAATTTACGGCAGTGAGTAAAGACTTTACAGGGAAGGAAGGGTATCAGAGGAATCATGAATATATGTGAATGTTTACGAAGAAGCAGATGGAGTCAGGTGTGTGGTACATGCTTTAAGTCCCAGCACATGGGGGGTAGAACCAGGGAGAGCTTTGTGTGAGCAAAGCCAGCTTGGTCTGCAGAGTCAGGTCCAGGTCAGTTGGGGCTACAGGGAAACCAGGTCTGAAAAAACCGACAGAGAAGAAAGAAGTAGATGGGAATTAGCTGAAAAGAATTAAACAATACTTGAAAAATATTGACTGAACCAAGAATATCAGGACTCCACATTCATGTAGAAAGAAGGAGCAAATATGTGGCTAGAAAGGAGTCAAAGGCCGTGGGGAGTAAAGAGGGCGGAAAGAATGTAAGGGCCAGAGGAGAAGAGCTGCTGAAGAGAATGCCGTCTGTATACATGACGTGGTCACTTCTCTCCTGACAGAAGCTGTGGTTGTCTGCACAAGACCCAGGCAAGAGTTACCCCTGTCTGAGGGACTCTTGGTAACTAAGGATATTGGGGGAAGATGTGTCATTTCCTTCAATGCTTTTGCCACTTATAATGTACCCACCTATATGTAGGCAAGAAACTTTGTCAGTGGGTCACACAAAGAAAGAAGACATGAAAATGTGGGGGTACTTATTGGGAAGAATGGGTTACAGCATGAGAAGGAGGAGGATGACAGAGGGGAATGAGAGTGAGAATGACTAAAATTCATTACATAGGTTTATGAAATGGTTAAACCAAAAAATATAACATTGGTCACCATCTTCATGGGAGAGCATATGTACCTTTGATACTATTGGGCTTAAAGAGCTAGTACGTAGGGAAATTATCTCAAAAGTCACAAGGGATCTTTCCTTCTAGACTGTGTCTTCTGAGACAGGGACTGAAGAGAGCCAATCAGGCCACACAAGCTCAAGACTGAGCATTCCTCAAAAGGTGCAGCGACTGGCTATGGTAGAGCCCGACTGTCACAGAACTCTTGATGCTCAGGACACTCAGCCATGCATGCTAGCTTGGTCTTTGCTGGCACTAAGGTGAGTTATTGTGGCTTCCAAAGACTTACTCTCTGAAAATGAAAAGCTTTCAGTATTAGCAACTAATACAGCAATCACACCTGAGGTGTGATTGACTGAAGTTTTGTTGCGTGCCACAGAAGATATTGCTATACATTTGAGGACTAAGAATAGAATAAGGTTCTCCCCA